CCGTCCGTCCCTCCCCTCCGCCAAAGTAAGTGTTGCATAGTTAGAGGCGTCTAGATTTGTGAAACACTGGAATTTATGCGTTTTGTTTGCCATGTCTCTCGCTCGCTCTCCCTCGCTTCCACTGTCCTTCCTTCTTTTCGCACCCTCGCCATAAAGTTTGACCACTTTTAATGCAGTTATGAAGTGGGTATATATAGCGGACGTAAGTGCTATGCGCGACAGTCAGTTTGAGCCCACAAAAAAAAACTAGTGAAAGCGTTTGCACATTCTACACATTCCTCAGTTTTTAGTTAGGAGCAAATACGTCATACTTTCTTGATCAGCTCAGAGGCGCAAGGATACCTTTTATGCCCGGAAGTGAACCCACTGGAAATGGGAAAGCATAGCGCACAATAGAATGATGAAAATTTAGATAATAGGCAGAATAAAGTGCCGAAGCGCAAGTAGTATTAACATATTGGCGCGCACTGTAATTGTGCTTTCTACCTAGCGCAGCATGCATACTGAAATTGTTAAGAGTATTTAGAGTGCAGCATGTAAATGCGTATGGTTCTGCTATTTTGTGAGTTTCGCGACTGAATGTATCGTGGCTGGTCGATTATGTTTTGTAGGCTGCAAAATTCCCGTTGTAGCGGGATGACAGCGTCTGTAGCTGTCAGAAGAAAGAGTTTAGAATCGTTTGAGAAGTGGACGGTTTAACATGACAAAACTGTTTTTTGAGCTTTGACATATATGTACATATACATACATATAACGATTATGTACATATGTATATATATGTATGTATATTTAAGACGATACATAAGTATAGATACACATTATTTGAATTATATTTAAACTGGTTTCAGAGTAACTCCTGATCGGACTATCGAAAAGGTCTTTCCATTCTCTCTGGTTGGGTCATTTAAAATATGAATTGTGTTCATTAGTATATATCAATGGATCAATGGTTGTGTTCAGGTGGAGAGGTCGTGTAATCCAGGGGATTACAAATTTTATTTATGGCCTACGTGAACTGTTCGAGTTGTGTTTGGTTATTGCGTTCAATCAATAGTGGTATATGTGCATTATTTATTGATGTCGAGTCTGGTTTCAAAGGCTTAGATGAGATGCAGTTTCATATTACATAAGATATATAGATTCGAAAAGTAAAGCTAGCTACGTTGGTATATTTATTTGCTAATTGTACAATTTTGCCACTATTATAAATCCGCCAAAGTGGCCGATAATTATCCGTTAAATTGCCTAATTGCCGATGATGATTACCGCGCTAAAAATGGGGCAAAAGGCAAAGGCAAAAGGCTCGTAATACAGTTATCGGCACTCAGGGCCATATTTCACAAGCCTCTGCACTCTGAAATTCTGCCTCAAGCCCATTTCCAGTCTAAGCCCAGCCCTAGAGTTGGGCATCAAATGAATTTCCGTGCTTAAATCTGGGATGCCGGGAACGCCATAACCGAACAACAGCAAAAAACACAAGACCAAGGCAAATTGCATCAAATCTCAAAACAAAAGCGCTTCAGTGCTTTTTGAATCGGGCAGCTGGAATAGCTGGCACCGAAGGGTCTTTAAGGATTTTGGAGAATGTTTGCGTTTCCTCGTTTAGCTACACTTGCCCATGAACTAAGAAACCACTATATAAGACTGGCTGGACTACTATAAGCAAATTCTGCCTATTACCAGAAAATCAGAAAACATCGTTTAACTCAAAAATCAAATCAAAAACATTGTTTAAATCAAAAATACTTAAATCAAAAGCTTTTCTATTTATTAAGGGGAAATTTAGAGTAAAAAACTTTGCATGGAATTCGGTTCTAGCCTTAAAAGGCACTGACACCTATTCTTTAATGTGTGTATATTTTTCAAGCTAGTTTTTTTTAAACATAAATTAAGATTGAATGAAATATATCTACTTCATATAAGTTGTGCAATTTAAACTAGTGATTAATAAGTAATTTAATCAACTTATATTAGTCTATAAGAAATATAGTACTATGGCAAGAACAATATTAAACAAAATATGTATCAATCAGTTCTTACCAGTCTTGAGTCACATAAAGCTGAATTAATCGATCTATCGCTAATGTCCATCAATATAATCGATGAAACTATTGGCGGCTTTAACAGCTCTTTTTTTATAAATACTTCATCAGCTGGTTGAACTATATATTTGACAAGAAGCATTGAGCAAGGCTTTAAGTTAATAATGGCATGGGTATTTTGTATTCGTTCAGCTCCACTGACCTCTACGTTCTCGCTTTTCCATTTTTCTTTTTTTGCAGCTGGCGTGCAGCCAAATTGCGCTGTTTGGCGTGGGTGGTTGCCAGGCCGGGAAATCGGGAAGGGGCGTGACAGCTTACAGCTGCTCAAAATGCAGAGGTCTTCATTGCCTTCAAATGCTGCTGTAGAAAACACGCTGCATAAATTGCAACAGCACAGCACAGCACAGCACAGCACGAGCACGGGCACGAGTAGGACCCCATATAGACCCCATACATCCCGTAGACCCCATAGACCTGCCCCAGCAACAAATTGGCGTCGTGGCTGGCCGGAGCAATTAAATTTCATTTTATGAACTGGCCGGCAAATCGTTAGAGCTGCACACAGCGTGAGCAATTAGTCGGACGGAGCTCTGGAGCCAACAAACACATGATAGAAAAGCATCAAATGTGCGAGCATCGGCAACAAAGAGGCGGACCGAGGGGAGAGGAGGCAGAGTCGGAGGCGTAACGGACTATGTGGCACAAGCTGGGGCCACATTGGTTTGGCATGTCCTACTGCTCTCTTTGTGTGGGCTGCATGCATTGGCATGCAGCACGGCCAGGCCAAGAGGGAACCGTGAAAATTAGGCTCGGACCGAAGCGGGCAGGATGTGACATTGAATTGCCAGCCAACTCGGTCAACAATCGATAATTCTCTTGTTTGCCAATACAATTTGGCTTGTTGTGTGCAAATTGTGCGCCATAAGCACTTGTAAAAGCCATTAGCACAGGTAAAATTCGATGAAGGCAACATAATACTCGTTGATTTCCATAAATTTACATAATCTGAATGGTTGAATTGCCTTACTCAACAAGTTGAGTCCGATTACCTCTTCCTGCCATAAAGCTGATAAAACTGTCTCTGCTTGTTTCAAAATTGTGGGTGAAGCTTGTGGGTGAA